TCCTCATCAGAAATCGGCTGCAATGGGGACAACGGAGGCACATCGTCCAGTCCTTTGCGGCCAGGATGTGGAAAAGAAGCAAGTTAGCTTTCTCATCTGTATACGTAGACGTTCTTTCTACAAAGGCAGTCTCTTGCCTAGTTTGCTTCTTTTTAAATCTTGGCATCATTTCTGAATTAAACATCTAAAAATTCCATATATTTTCTACCTTCTAAGAGGTAAGGTTAAGACTATTTAGATAACAACTACTATTCCTCCAAAGTAAGAAATTTGTTGGTGAAGTCCTGTACAAAATTCCTTTCCTTTTCCTTCACTTGTAATCAACAGGTGTGAATGCTTAATGGCCTACAGTACATTCTGAAAGATTGAGTCTACTACCATAGCTTGTTAACTTGGCCAAAAGTACAACATACTCTACCAGCCTGATATGGGTTAAAGTCATCATATCCTGAAATGTCATTTTGATCTGATCATTTCTCCTCCAAATTATTCTCAAATATGTCTGTAAGAGGATTTCTACGATTCTGTTTTCATCACCCGCAATCCTCTGCCACAGAGTGACCCTCTCTAGTACAGCCTTGAGTCAGGTTTTGTTATGGCCCTAGTGGTAAAGAACCCGCCTGCCAATGCAGAAGACACAAGAGACACGGGTTCGATCCCTGGGTCAGGAAGGCCCCCTGGAGGAGGGCACGGCAGCCCACTCCAGTATTCTTGCCTGGAGAATCCCATGGACAGAGGAGCCTGGCGGGCTACAGCCCATGGGGTCGCCAAGAGCTGGACACGCTCAAGTGACTTAGCACGCAGGCACCCAAGTCAAACACAGTATAAAAGACCCTGGGAACTGTAACCCACCTGAGGCTAAGGAATCAGAGCTTTGACTTTCTGTTCTGTCTTTCTGTCTCTCATCACTACCCTTTCTCATTTCTCAGAGCCAGTCTCCCCTCGCGGACCTCACCCCCCAGCTCCCTTGTGTTTATAATCTACTTAACCTAACATTATCTCATCTGTAGTGAAGTATTCCTTGCATAGGAATATTCCTAGAATGGGAAGCACAGGCAGGAAAAGAGTGACTAAAAAAATTTACATGAGCAGCTTTTTGGGGTGTTCTAACTGTTCTTGTTGTTCTCTTTGTTGACTGTGGTGGCTGCTACAGAACTAAAAGCACAATGTCAAGATTCATAAAACTGTATATTCAAAAAGGATGACTTTTACTTGAGTAAAATTACACCCTAATTAGGTATATAGAATAGGGTAAATTAGATCCTAGTAAACCTTTTTAAAATATCTAAATAAAGAACATAGAAAGCAAGTGCTATTGGCATAGTTATAAAATAATCTAAAACATATTAATCTAAAAACTTTTTTCTTAGTCATTAAATCAGAGGCCTAAAAAAAAGCAAGCAGATTATTGCATAATAGAAGAAATGAATAGAAGTGGATTGTTCTTTTTCTTTCCTGACACAAAGTATGACTTGAAATTGGCAACAAGATATAAACAGGCAGCTTGTTCAAACGACCAAGGTGAGGCAAAGGTGAGTTTTCCGAAAGTTGAAAATTACCTTCTAGAGACAGCTCAGAATCAAGGCCGGGTATCTTTCGTGTCCTCTGTGACGGCTCATTCACGGAAGGAAGCAAAGTGCTTTGGGCACAATTAATCTCTTGCCTACTTGAGTCGGCAGACTGGGAACTATTCCACAGGGAGGAAGTCCTGTAAGTCCTAAAACCCCACTGCAGAAAGCAACCCTCAGAGGACACATGGGGCTGAGCAAAAATGCCACACGACAATGTTGTTCCTGGTCTCTGAAAACGTTTTCTGAGTTGCAGAGCAGTCATGAAGCTACTCAACTTACTTGAGTTGAGCCATCTGGATATCTGTTGGGCTGACAGGGCCATTTTTCTTAAAGTTGCCTATAAAAGAAATACATAACCATCAAAAAAAGTGAAACTTATTTCACTTAAACATTTAAAACAGTATTCAAACCACAAAAAGATAAACTGGAAATTATTTTTGCTGCTTAAAAGGTGATTATTACTTTAGATGGCTAAAGCAGTCAGATGTTTTTAAGCAAAGGAAAAGCAAAAAACAAGGCAGTTTCAGTTACAAACCAAAAGGAACTTCTGAACTGGAAAGATAAAGATATGCTTTACAATTTAAAAACAGAAAGCAAAGTCAGTGGCATGAGAAAAACATCTAAAAAAAAATCTGTAAATATTAAAATTACAGCTGAACCTGTTAACTTAATATTTAAAGAAAACAAGGTGATGCAATTAAGTGCTCTTTTTTTTTTAAGTGCTCTTGAAATTTGATTTGAAGGACATTTGAGAAGCAGATTGCTGATCAAAATAACACTGAATTATTCAGATGCATTTTATCTATGTACATTAGTCACAAAAAACAAGAATTCTACTTAGTCTTAAGTGAATCATCAAAATATTATCATTGTAGAAGGTCATTTCTTGCTTTATTCTCAGGGTTGAGCACTAGATTATTTCACAGGTAAAGCTGTTCCTCAAAAGAGAATTGAACAAAACCAAATTCTGTTTGACTGCAGGAACAAAGAAAAAGACTTTCAAAACAGAGTGGTAGGGTGGGGTTCAAAAATAAGCAAAATCGACAGAAATGTACTACAAGCAACCAGCAATGGATACATGTATATTTTGACTGAAAAACTGGTTGCTTATAAAGAGATTTTTTTTATCAGCAAATGACTTTTATATTTAGCCAGCTTAATTAAAGAGTAAACAATGCATTTTTATATTAAATAAGACAATCCATTAAAATATAGCATAAAGTCCAGCATGTGGAAAATGCCCAACACATGTTAGCCATATAATAATCATTATATTCACTGATTACACAACTAAACATAAAGGAGTTCAGACTTAACTGTTGCATACAACTTTTTGATTTGTTTCTCTCCATACTGAATTTCAGCTTGTTTTATGTTTGGAATTAGACCAAATAAATGCTTCAGGGTCTAAGCTCTTCTTGGAGCTTTAGGGAAGTCTCCTGAAAGTAATATATAAAAGTGAAACGTCTCCCTGTCATTCTGAAATGCTTTTACGAAGGAAAAACGGTATTTAAAGAAGCCTTATGAGTGATTTTTGTTAAACTCTGGTGGGAAATGAGCCTCCAAATCTGTCGTGTTTTTCCTCAAAGCTACAAAATTCATTCTCTGCACAGCAGTGTCATAAGGGCATTCAATTGGAAGCCAGAAGACCACAATTATGCTACTTGCAGATAGAAGTTTCTCAAGGTGGTTCAGCATGACTGGACCATGATGGGGGATTCAATAACCACTGTTTAAAAGGCAAGTTTTTAAAAGGTTATGGGTACAATAAGATGATTCTTGAGCTCTAAAATGTTCTGACTTCTCAGTTTGTCCAAGCATTCTGTCCTCCTTCAAACTCCTGAAATCCCCAATTCACTTCAAAGCTTCTTGAGCCAGGCTCAAATCAAAGTTCTCCCCACTACAAAGGAGGAGAGGGTGAGATGTATGGAAAGAGTAACATGGAAACTTACATTACCATTTGTAAAACAGATAGCCAACAGGAATTTGCTGTATGGCTCAGGAAACTCAAACAGGGGCTCTGTATCAATCTAGAGGGGTGGGATGGGGCAGGAGATGGGAGGGAGGTTCAGGAGGAAGGAAATATATGTATACTTGTGACTGATTCATGTTGAGGTTTGACAGAAAACAACAAAATTCTGTAAAGCAATTATCCTTCAATAAAAAAACAACCCCAAAACTCTCCCCACTTCAGAACGATCCGCTTTTGCATTCTACCCATGTTCATTACAAGGTCTTTATGTAAACAACTAATGTTTATCCTTCTGTTTTTCTTTACAATCGCACTGTCTTTGCTACATCATTTCATCGCCGTGTATACTTCTGACAATTGATTAATTGTTCGTTCACAAGAGCAGGGCTCTGTCTTCATCCCTGCATGCACCCTCTCAAACTCTGTATCCCCGCCTAGTTCTCCACTGAACGCCTTAGTAGTTTCATTCGCGCTTAACTACATTCGACGAGGGTGCAAGATTTCGACCTCTGTCTGGGAGGCTTAGATCAGGAGATTGAAAGATGGGGAAGAGGACGGTTTCGGAATCAGGCACCTCGGGAACAAGGCTTGACCCCCCTACCCCGCTCCCCCGCCTCAGGCCATTCTCCCAAGTCCGTTTTAGGTTCCCCAAACCCAACTTCCGGAGGAAACCCCCCTCGCCATCTAGACCTCCTTCCGCGTGCGCCCCCCCCCGCCCCAATCACCCCCCGCCCCCACCGCCCGGGCAAAGCGTGCTAAACACACAAGCGCCGCGGCGCGTCCTTCTCACCCGCCCAAGGGAACAAAACATCGCTGACCCTCGGCGGGGCCGCGAGGCCTACAGGGCCACGAGGCTCCGGGGCGCGGCCTAGAGCCGAGGAGGAGGAGGGAGGTCGGGGGGCCCGACCGGGAGCCCCCCGGGCAGGGAGCGCTCCCCCTTTACCTGCAGCCAGGCCGACGCCAGCCAGCCGGACCCCGCGGGCAGCCCCTCGGCGAGGCTCTGCCAGCCGGCGCTCGCTAGCCTGCCGGCCCACGTGGGCTACGGCCGGAGCGGGCCAGACCATCGGCGCGACTGCGCGGGTGGGGAGCGGGCGGCGCCCGGCAGGGAGGACAGAGCCGGCCGCGGGGGGCACACGGTCTCCATTCCCCGTGGGCGCCGCAGACCCTTCCGATGGGCCTGGAAAGGCGCCGCGCATCCCTGCGGACGCCCCTCCCAGGGGCCCGGGCCCGGCAAGCCGGGTCCACCCGCCGCCCGAGGCCGCGTGGACCGCGCCGGCCCCGCCCTCCCGCGTCGGCCCCGCCCGCGGCTCGCCCCGCCTGAGCTGCTCGCCCAACCCGGCCCCGGCGTCGGCCCGGCCGCCCGCCCGCCCGCTGCGGCTCGTCCGCCGTCCGCTCCCCCACCCCAGGCTCCCAGCCTCCGCGGGCCGGGGCCTCGCCGTGGGACCGGGAGGCGGGCCATGGCGTCCTGCGTGGGGAGCCGGACCCTGAGTAAAGATGATGTGAACTACAAGATGCATTTCCGGATGATCAACGAGCAGCAAGTGGAGGACATCACCATCGACTTCTTCTACCGGCCGCACACCATCACTCTGCTCAGCTTCACCATCGTCAGCCTCATGTACTTCGCCTTCACCAGGTGCGGGGCGGGCCGGGCGCGCCCGAGGGCGAAGGGGAAGGGGCTGGCTGGGGATGCGGCGGGGCGCAGGGGGGCCTGGAGAGCCATGGCCGGGAGAGGAAGCGGGCTCGTTCTGCTCCCCGCGCGGGCTCGCCCGCCGGCGGCTCTGTCCCCGAGCACACCCAGCTTCGCTCCCCTACCGCTCCTCGGGGACCGGCGCTCGTCCCTTCCCTGCGACCCACCTCCATCCTCCACCCACCCCCACGCCTGTCCCCATACCGCCTCTCCCCATGCAGCGCCTCGGGCCACCCCGGGAACACGCGTGGCTCCGCTGGCGCGATCGCCCTCCCTTCCTCCTCCCCGGCTCCCAGCCTCGCTCCCCTCTCCACGCATCACGACACCAGCCCCCTCCTCTCCGGCCTCCGTCCCCGCCTAGCACACCGCATGAATCATCTGGTATGCACCACTTACAGCACACATGTCCCCGCTGCAGACACTCCAGTCTACGGGCGTCTTTCACGCGCCTTGCCCAGGCCCGGAACACAACCCAGACCCCTTCCCCGCGGAACTCCTCCAGGGTTCAGCACTACCTGCCCACAGAATGCACTCCAGTGTGCGTTGCACGCAAGTCGTCTCGCATAACCCTTCCCGCAGCCCCAAACACGACCGCCTGTACCACAACACAAACTGCCAGCCATGCGTACACATCACAGCCAACATGCCAGTACTGCCACACAGACGCCAGCCCATCACGCATCACACGGTGCCCGCTCTGTTCCGTTCTTACCCTGGCATGCATGCTGAAATGAGACATTGTCAGGCCACTGGAGCAATGCCCGGTGTGTTGCAGATGCTATGGAAAGGGTTAAATAAAACACTCACACCACACACACTATAGCACAACTCTCTTACCACCTGAAAACATACATGCACACACACTCAAAACCCTTCTGATATGCACTTGTGCCTAGGAGCTACCCCGCCCAACTCTTGTTGACCCACAGCATAGCTACCTCACTGAACATGAGGTCCCTCAGCCCAAGTCAAGGAACTGATTCCTGCCTAAAGGACCAGATACACCTTGGGTCCTACTTTTAAGGGCTTATATTTTCTGAATGAACCTCTTTAAGGAAAGAAAATGTGTGTTTATACCAACCATGCTTAAGCACTAACTTAGAGATGTGGAGTTTTGGAGCCAGACTGTTGGTCGCAAGACTATTTGTGTGACCTTGGTTGAGTTGTTTAGCCTTTCTCTGAGCCTCAGGATTCTCCTCTGTATAATGGGGATAAAATAAGTCCTTACCTAATATGGAGTTATAAGGATTAAATGAACATGTGTGAATGTACTTAACAGAGTACCTGGCACATGATGCATAATTAATGTCAGATCAGTTCATTCACTCAGTCGTATCCGACTCTTTGCGACTCCATGGACTGCAGCACGCCAGGCCTCCCTGTCCATCACCATCTCCTGGAGTTTACTCAGACTCATGCCCATTGAGTCAGTGATGCCATCCAACCATCTCATCCTCTGTCATTCCCTTCTCTTCCTGCCTTCAATCATTCCCAGCATCAGGGTCTTTTCAAATGAGTCAGTTCTTTGCATCAGGTGGCCAAAATATTGGAGTTTCAGCTTCATCATCAGTCCTTCCAATGAATATTGGATCTCCTTTAGGATGGACTGGTTGGATCTCCTTGCAGTCCAAGGGACTCTCAAGTCTTCTCCAACACCACAGTTCAAAAGCATCAATTCTTCGGTGCTCAGCTTTCTTTATAGTCCAACTCTAACATCCATACGTGACAACTGGCAAAACCAAAACTTTGACTAGACGGACCTTTCTTCTCTAATATATTTTATCTAACAATCAGTGGTTCTCAGCCCATCCGTAGAAACTGTACAGGAGTATATTTGGTGACCTCAGTATTGGGGGAACTTTTGCTATTTAGCAGGTGGGGGTTAAGGATGCTAAATGTGTAAATGCCAGGGATAGTGTTTAAGACAAAGAATTGTCCCTGACTCACAGGCACACGTGTGCACCTACACACTTGTGTACACGCAAGTGCCAATGGTGTCTCCCTTGAGAATCAATGCAACTTTTTCAGATTTTCATAAAACTGATAATGTCCTCCTACATCACACTTGTTCTTTTCCTCCACTATCCATTTAACTCTTGGTTCTTATTTTGTAAATGTTTATCTATTTGTGTGAATCTATCTAAAGGCATAAAGCATATGAAACAATTACTCTTAATGATTGAGGGAAACAGCTACTTTTATGGTAAAATATTCTGCTAATTCTCTGCTGTGGAGTAAGGACCGATCTTTTCAGAGTATCCAACCAAGAACATATTTCTAGCTTTGGAGAGAAGTCTTGTCCCTAATTATGGTTATCCTCAAATACTTATCATGTGATTTGATTTTACCACCTAGTATCTTTGTTTGTGTGGCCACTTAATATTGCTAAGCCCCTGATTGCTTATCAGTACATAGAGTGAAAATATTTAGTAATACCTGATAGGATTTCATTTTAAGTGTTCAATTCATCTTTTTAGATAATATGTATTTAGCTTGTGCGTGCTAAGTGGCTTCTGTTGTGTCTGGCTCTTGGTGACTCTATGGACTAGCCTGCCAGTATTCTCTGTCCATGGAATTCTCCAGGCAAGAGTACTGGAGTGGGTTGCTATTGCCTGCTCCAGGGGATCTTCCCGACTCAGGGACTGAACCCATGACTCAGGTCTCCTGCATTGTTGGGCAGGTTCTTTACTCAATTCGTAATGAATAGTAAGTGCTCAGTAAACATTAACTATTATTATTATATCATTTCATTGTGTGCCGCTGCCTCCTACATTAGATTTTTCATTGAGTGAGGATGTGGTGTGCTCTATAATTAAGAAAAAGAATAAAGACTTTGGAAAATTGGACAATGCTTTGCCTGGAGAATATATATGCCTGTTTCATATCAACTTCAGTTTTACTTTGTCTCATGTGGGTTGGCAAGGATGGAGTTAGTACAGGAGTTTCTTTGGAAATTAGAAAAGTAATTATGCTGTTTTACTTTAAATAATAAGAAGCAAGAATGAGCAGTGTGTTTCAAACTTTCACCTTATTATTCTAGGCCCTTTCAGAGCAGATTTCTCTTCCTCTTTTCTAATATAGAAAGTCCCATTCTTCTGGAAGTTCCCTTTTACAGCATGTCCTGCCAAAGCATTCAATAAATTACAGCAGTGGAAGTATAAAAAATGAGTGTGAATTTTAACAACTTGTCAAAAGAAATAGAAAAGGCATAATCTGAACTGTAGGCCATGGTCTTTTCCAAAATTGATTATGATTTTACTTCTCCCGCTAATTTCACAGAGACAGAAATCATACATTAAAGAACTACTTCAGAACAAGTTTCATGCTATATAAAATCATAAGCACCGTTAGTACATTAGTACTTACTGTCTTACTCATTTTTGGTAGTGACTTATGACCTTTTAAACTGAGACATTACAGTAATCGCTCTGTCATCTTCCGTAAAGATTGAAAGTAATGACTTCTTAAATGAAGATTATTCATTTTGTGCTCTTTTGCAGTAAGAACCTTATTTTATAACAGGGTTTGAGTTGGTGACTGTTCAGAGCAATTCTTTCAGTGAAACTTTAAAAATATGTCTTAAAGTTTGTTTTTCAAAAACCAGTGGTTGAAGAGAGCTGGGGGGTAGAATACTTTCCTGGTGTCAGATTACCAATATGCATGAAACACTACCTGGGTCATGACACATGATGCAGAGAGACACAGCAAGAATTTAGGATTGCCAAGGATTAGGTGCCTTACACAGAAGTCCAAGACAAGTTTGTATTTGTCCAGTAGTGTTTTTGTTAAATGGCAACTAGGCCAACTCACTGTTGAATCATAACGTTTCAGTCTCCAGTCCCTATCTCTGTCATTCACAATAAAGCCAGATGCTATTGAATCCTGCCGCCTAAGATTGGAAAAAGCTCTCTTTGCCACATTTTAGGGTAACCAGTTTTAGAAATCAAATGCCTTGGCATATGTCTTATAAAAGGTGTTCAGCCAATGTGGGGGCAAGGATAGCCTTTGTCTTAAGCTCTGAGCTCGCCTTTCATAGGTTGGTAAACTTGGACACGTTGAATAGCCTTAGTTTCAAATGCTCGGGCTTTAGATTTGAAAATGCCAAAATTTACTAGATCCCATTGGTAGCAGGTCACTCTCTCCTCAAGAGGCACCTGGCAGTAAAGCAGTGAAATCACTCTCTCCAGTGACACTTGTCCAGCACAAGTCATCACTTGCCCAGAAGAGATTGTCTTCCTGCAGCTTCTAGTACCAGAGGCATCATCCACTCACCTGGGCTAGTCTTCTCCTTAATGTGGGACTGAGGAGGCGGATGAGGGCAGGCACATGGCCAGACTTCTGATTGATTGGTTTCTACTTGTTCGTGATAGTGGTTTTCACGTCATTTCCCTTAGTGGCTCTGGAGCTCCAGCTTTTCTTCATCTTGCCGTGGAGCCATCGTTCCACCTTCCGTGTCTCTTCCCTCCTGGAGACCTGCCAGCCTCCCCTGTTTTTTCCCCTTTAGACCCTATCAATTCCCATTAGAAACCGTCTCCTGATACTGCTGATTCAGTTGTCTCGAGCCTGTTTCCTTTAGGTACAGTGTGTTCTTTCTCTCCCAATAACAGAAGGCCTTGGCTGTCCTTGTTCCCGGACACCATCAACGTTATGTGATTGTCTACGGCAGCTGTGTGCTGGGGTGACCCCAGCCCTGGAGGTGGAAGCCTGCCCTGTGTTAGGCCCCCTCTAAAGAGGTCCAGTTAACCCTCTTAACATTCCTCTTCCTTACTTCCTATGTGAATCATTTCTTTTTATTGGATTAAAATAAACACCTCTTTATATCCTTTCTTGTCCTTATTTCTGGTGTTTTATGTCCTTAACTGGAGAAGGAAATGGCAATCCACTCCAGTGTTCTTGCCTAGAGAATCCCATGGACAGAGGAGCCTGGTGGGCTGCTGTCTGTAGGG